AGAAAATATACTTGTATATAACAGATTAATGAAGTAACTGACTTTCCCAGAAACAGGTCCATCACTTTCACACATTCTTAAAGGTATCTCTGGCCCTAAAGACACCAGATTAGAACAAAGGATCTATGAGGGCAAAAATATTACCTATTTCAGTCATTCCTGTATCACTACACCTACCGGTGTCTGATATAGTAGTACTCAATAGATACTTACTGCTGAGTGAATTATCAATTTGGAAGATAAACCTCAATGACTTCAAAGATCGTTTTAGAAAATAAATCTTCCTTTGCTTCAGGACCAATCAGTGAAAGAGCAGTGGGATCAGTACTCAGCATATCCCATCAGCAAACTGTCATTTACTTTTCCATCCTGGCAACCACAACCTTGATAACTAATCAAAAACATGGCTTTATAAATGCAATTATATTCATTCATTTTTGCTCTAGATATAAATGCTAAAAATTACAATGACTGGCTTCATGAAATTTAGTCTTCAGTGGAGGGTCAGGTTCCTCAGCAAATGCCTCACTTATACAGCATGAGGAAGGGAACTGAGAATCTCACAGGTTCACGATGTGTGTGTGTGTGTGTAAATTCAAACTTCACAGATAGTAAAATGAGAGTTCAGTTTGCTCATTTTTCAAATGTATCCTAACTAAATATTATAAATACTCTGTAAGTTATAGGAAGATTACCAAACAAATTATGAAAGAGGATGAACTGGAATCACAAGGGAAATGGAATTATAAAAGTTTTCAAGTTCTGACAATTTCACTAAGTTATCAATGAAATTTCTAAAGATGCTTAAATACTTCATAATTTTACAAACGTTTAATGTTTGCTTTTGGAGTTGAAGAACACTGGCTTAAATAAAACTGAATTTTCTATGCATTCTTCATTTAACTTTTTTTATTAGTTAACCATGCCAGTAACTGTCCCAGACAATGAGGATACATAATGAAACAAACAAAACTGTAGACTCTTAGAGATTTTACATGTTTGTTGGGGAAACAAAATAATGAAGTAATAAATAAATAAATGTATCCGGAGAGGCAGCCACTCCTCTGCTCACCTGTGATTATGCAGGTGCTTCTTTGCATCTGCTCTCTCCCTCTGTAGGACCTCCCTCAGGGGAGGCCTCTCTCCTAAGACACCCTGCTGAAACCATGCAGGTCTCTCTCTCTGCAAACCTGTCCCTTTCGGTGCAGCTCTTCCTGCCTGCGTGTGCCTATGCAAGTGTCTTTTCCTCTCCTGTCTTTTTCTAATAAACTTACTCTTTAAAAAAAAAAAATGTATCAGGAGAAAATAAGTAAGATTAAGAGATCATCAGGGCTAGGAAATAATAGCCATTGTAAAAATAATTAAGGGTCATCCATTAGACAATGCTTATAAAAGCAAACGTAAAAGGGAAGATTGACTAGCCAGATAGAAACAAGGGGCCCTGTAAAGAGGCAAGTAAAATCACTTGCAAAATTCAAGCCTCTTCCTACCCAACATCCATCCTACCCAACATATTTCTTCCCCAATATGTTTGGGGATCAAACATAGATGTGCCTCAAGTTTAAATAATAAAATGGGAAAAGAAATTGGAGGTTTATTTAAATTAGTTAAATGTCATCACACCAAAGGCACATATTTTAACTTTTTTAAACTTAAAAAAATTATTCTAGAGGCTCCCTCTCCCTGGCATTATTTTAAAGGATCTGATGCCATCTTGTGGTAAACAGTTGTAGTCATGATCTAATTTATGTGAATTTAACTGAAGTTTGTTAAAATGGAGATGAGGGAGGGCAGGGCCCCCACTGGGAACACCAACTAGGGAAGACAAGCAGGGAGTCAGGTTTTTCTGGACACCTTCTCAAACACAGTGTGGCAATGGAAAGGATCAAGTTAGGTCAAGATCAAGGCCACTAAAGACAGAGAAATCACCCACTGTGCCTACACAGGGTGCTATCTGGGAGGCTGCCATAGGGGTGAACTTGCTTAATCCCCAAGCAATTTAATAAGCATATTGGCAAGTATTAAGATAAGGATTCTTTGTGTAAAAAACATAATTGTGCACAGACTGCAAACAAGCAGGCTCACACAAGGTGCTTCAATCCCATTCTATACCCAGAAGCAAAGTGGTCCAATGACCCAAATACCTGGCCCAAAGCCCTGCCTTCCCTGGACGTGGCTCAGTGGCTTACAAACAGCAATGGCATAAGGACAACCAACAGGACATTCAACACTGGCCATGCATGCCATACTCAAGGAGTGACGAGGGATTTCTCAGGATATATTTGACTTTATTTTGAACTTATGATTTGTTACCATCTTCATAGAATGTTTAAACTAATTTCTCCTTCCAGGATAAAAATTAATTGCAAATATAACTAGAAATATTAACAATCTAATAAGGGTAAGGAGGTTCTCCTACGTTATATTTATCTTGCTTTCACTCACTTTTTATACTTTAAAAGGTAAGAAGCCAAAATTTTTGAAATACTAGGTAAAAAACAAAATAGATATTAAAGAAACACATAGCTATGTAAAGTGAGGGGCCATGAAATTGAGTTCATCTAGTTATAAGAAAAATCAATATATTAGTGGGAAGAAATTCATGAAAATATGGCATCTACCTTTCTTATTCACAAAGTTAAAACCACAGAAGATTTAAGAAGGCCAATTCTCAATAAAGTAAGGAATTATTAAATATCAACTCTCCAAAAAGCTCAGAAGTCAATGCCTGCCTTTTATAATACCCTCCTATACATTAAAAAAAAAAAAAGGGCTGTGGCCTCCAAAGGAATCGGGTTTTAAATGACAAATAACAGAGGGCAAGGAAGCTGACAGATTTGTCTGGTCCTGAAAATAAGGCCCAGAGGACCTAAAACAAATCCAGAATATTAATATCACTGTTTTATAAGCACTAAAGGAATCTTTGATACTCATACTGCTCACTAACATGTAACACAGAGGTGGAGCTGCTGCAAAGAGTCTTGGTGTTAAGTTACACAGTGCCCCAGAGATGTGCCAAAATGCCCTTTATGGGCCACATGCAATAGTCTATCTCAGTAGCAAAACAGTTGATTTCTTATCCAGATCAAAGGAGTAATCAATTAATCAAAATTTTAATGATCAAGGACTAAACATATGTATGTTGACAGATATTCTGAATGGCTGC